ATGATCACAACACACAAGATACCGAGAGGAATAGGCAAGGTGGACAAGGACAGCCTCTTTAAATTGAGAGAAATTAGGACGAGAGGACATAAGTGGAAACTGGAAATGGAAATAAGTCGAAGAAATATGATGAAACACTTGTTCCCAGAGTAAAGATGATTAACAAGAATACATTGAAATAAGTATTGACTCCATCTCCTTTCCTCCATCTCACTTTTCCTCATTCTATGCTCTTCCTTCTTTCTCTATTTCATATTCGTTACAATTCGCTCTTTCTTTCTCTCTTCTGTTCCATCCGTCCCCCCCCCCCCCCACCACACAGTCGACCTGACCCGTGTGTGGTGGGGTACTGTGGGGGGGTTCCCGCCCCCACCACACAGTCGACCTGACCCGTGTGTGGTGGGGTACTGTGGGGGGGTTGGGGGGGTTCCCGCCCCCACCACACAAATGAAATATCCTGAGCTGGAGAAAAATCCCTGTGTTTATTTTCCATTAAAAGCTGAGAGGGGACTTATGTTGACCTTGTCCATATATGATAACAGAAGATGATAAGCTTCATGCATCTCAATCGGTAGAGAAGATAAATGGCGGGAGATTGTAAGCTGACTCAAGATGGAAATTTTACAAACTGTATTATGAAAGCTATCAGCCAAATTATTCCGTTGCATAAGCAATGGAATAAAAGGTTAATAAAGAAAAACTCTTCACTCAAAAATACTCTGGAAATATAATCTAAAGATAATCCAAAATCTATTATTGTAATCCACCATTTGATCCGCCATTTTAGTTGTGCGATCAACTGGTTCTCACTCTGCTGACCAGAAACAACAAAATTCTATTTTAATAATAACTCTACAATATATTCCTCCGTATCATTCAAGTTCAAGTTCTAGTTCAAGTATGTTTATTGAGACAAGAAAGAAATACATCTCAAAGGGATAGAGTAGCTTAGGCTATCTCCGTATCATCAAGCTTACATTAATAAGCCAGCAGCTGACACCACACTTTTGCTGTTGTATACACCTACTCAGATTGCTTTACTTGCAATTATGCACCACCTTCACCAAATATTGCCAATTTTGAGATGAAAGTTGCAGGTTGTGTTCAAACGCACATATACCCGAACTAGTATTGCTCGAGCAACATTTAACTCAATAATTTTCCACGAAAATTTCTATAAGTAATATGAGAACAATTGTCAAATTGCGCTGAGTTGGTTGATACCTGGTTGATGGGGTTCTGGGAGTTGTTCTACTCCCCAAGCCCGGCCCGAGGCCAGGCTTGACTTGTGAGAGTTTGGTCCACCAGGCTGTTGCTTGGAGCGGCCCGCAGGCCCTCCAATATCCTCTTAATATCTCAATAACCTTAATATCCTCCGCTTAATATCTCAATAATGCATTTAAAATGCTCATTGGATCAAAATATCGTATTCTCGGCCCTTTTGTTTATCAATCTGCTGGTTGATAGTGTTGTTGGTTTGGTACTTATGTACTCATTGCACCCTTAATGGTCCTTATATAGCAAGGGCTTGCATTTTTTAATATTAAAAAGCATTTGAGAGTCGTCTGACCGTTCATTGAGTTCGTGTTCTTTGTTGCTTCCTGCTGTACCAAAGGTCTTAGTGCCATGCGTAAATGTGTTGATGTGGTTTGTAATATTCTCATCTATGCCATTGATGTATATGATAAAGGGTTGGTCTAAAGATGAAATCTTGAGGTACTCCATTCACTACATTTTTTCCAGACAGATTCATTTCCATTTACAACTACCCTTTGCTTTCTTTGTTTTATCCATTCTAGTATTCTAACATTTATTCCATATGCTTGTAATTTCCTTGCCAGACTTTCGTGTGGTACCGTAACAAAAGTTGCAGCAAAGTCCATGAGTTCTACATGTACTGGAAGTCCTTTGTATAGATAGCTGATTAGTGTTCCAAAAATATAAGCAGATTAGTAAGACAGGATTTATTTTAACAAAATCATGTTATGTTGAGTTTACTAGATTGTGTACTGTGAGATGGTGAATTATTCACTCCCTCGGGAGTCTTACCATGAGCTTACAGATGTGAGAAGAGGCTGATTGGTCACTAGTTTTCAACTGAGCTCTTTGTGCTTTATTTTATGATAGAACGACATTTGCATATTTCCAATCAAGGGGGACTTTCCCCTTGATCCAGAGAGTTTCTGAATAAGAGTTTTAGTGGTAGACACAGTTCATAGGTGGACTGAATTCCATCCACACTAGGGGCTTTAGATACTATTAAATTGTCAATGCTTTTCCTGATAATTTCGCACGTTGTGGGAATATCCCTTAAGTCATTCTGTTCTCTTGCATCAAACATTTGTGTTGGAGTGCTGTCTAATATTTATAGTGTGAACATTGATGTAGAATACTCATTCAGTGTGTTGGCTGCCTTTTTTATCGTCAATTATAACTTGGTTGGCTTCGTATTTCAAGTCTCCAACCGAGTCTTTTGTCTTTATTTTACTTCTTATATAGGCATGAGAAAACTTGGATCGTTCTTAATGTTTTGAGCAAGTTTTCTTTCATACTTTGTCTAAGCTTATCTGATTCCCGGGGTGACTGAGTTTAATGCTCCAGACAGAGGAGAGGCCTTAATGCTTTTGGCTGAGTGGTCAGCATCAGCGATTCACAATCCAGGGGACCCGGATTCGATTCCCAGCCGAGACAAACAATTGTGCAGTAACTAAAGTAAAGATAACAGAAGAAAAAGAGGTGATATGATTACGACGTACAAAGTAGTATTAACACTACAAAACAGATCACTAACCTCATGTTAGGTTACCTTGTACCTAGTACCTTGAGGTTACCTTGAGAGCCTTAACCTACCTCAAGGTAACCTCAAGGTAGGTTAAGGACCTGCCCGAAACGCTATGCGTGTTAGTGGCTTTACATGAATATAAAAAAACAAGCTTATGTAATCTCAAAAACCCATTGTACGTTCTTGTAAATAAATTATCATTATTATTATAGTTAATAGTAGCCGTATTATAGGTAATAGTAGCCGTATTATAGGTAATAGTAGCCGGAATCGACAAAATTGAAATAAAATCTTGAAACCTGCAATTTCAACAATAAGAGGTCACAGACTCAAGGAAACAAAGCTGTTGATGAGATATAAATTCACTTTCGCAAACAGTAGTAAACAGTTGGAAGAAGCGAGAGGGTGATTGGAGGCCCCAAACCATCAGTAGTTTAGTACTGGGAAGACGGGACACCACGAGCGTAGCTCTCATCCTGTAACTACATTTAGGCGATTATATATATATATATATATATATATATATATATATATATATATATATATATATATATATATATATATATATATATATATATATATATATATATATATATATATATATATATATATATATATATATATATATATATATATATATATATATATATATATATATATATATATATATATATATATATATATATATATATATATATATATATATATATATATATATATATATATATCAATGTCAGACCACGGAGGAAAATATTTCCTTAAGTACTTTCGTATATATAGGTTCAGGACCTTCTGAAGATGTATTTAATATACGAAAGTACTTAAGGAAATTCCTGTTTCATTTTTCCTCCGTGGTCTGACATTGTCATATTATATATATATATATATATATATATATTATATATATATATATATATATATATATATATATATATATATATATATATATATATATATATAATAATCTTTTTTTGCTTGTAAGAGAGAGCAGGTGACCTTGCCTGAGGTGAGCGAGGCGTAACTTCTCAGGTATCCCATATCGTCTTCATGCAAAACTGAGGGTGTTGTTGTCGGAGGAGCTGGGAGGAACGCTCGGGACCAACCCATTAAACAATTACCATAAATTGCCTAGGACACGTAAACGGAGACAAACTGCTTAGTGGCACTTCCTGGGGTAAGCTAAACTCATTATCCCCAGTAATATCCTTCAACACCTCGCTTGCTTTACTTATCATAGTGATCCAAGTGCATTTTACCCAAGTTGCTGTTTCATTTAAGTGTGTGTGTGTGTGTGTTTACTTGTCTATTTGTGTCTGTAGAATCGAGCTTATCACTTGGAGACACTTTTCCAGTCGCTAGTTGCCGAATATAATGACGCCTATAACTATCATATTTCATATTTACTTTTAATTTTGGAATTAATGAATGGAGTTGGCTTCTATACAACCTTCTCGTTCAGTTCATTCCATTTTCCTAATATTCTTACGGTAAAAAGCACTGTTTAACATGACTAAAGGTCATTTGTTTCTCAACCTTCCACGCATGTGAACATTTTCACTTTTTCTTCTCTGTTTATCTCTAAATATTTTTTGTCTCTTATCATGTTGTAACGACGTGATCATGATAGGCCCTCTTCTCGTTTCTCTCCCCCTCGTTCCTTCTTTTCTCTCTCTCCCCCTTCTTTATTATACCCCTCTCCCTCTCTCTTACTCCCTCATTTTTCCCTTCTCTCCCCCTTTACCTTCTCCAGAGCAGCTGTCTTTCTGTAGAAGAGGTCACACACACACACACACATGCGGGACCAAAGAGCCAAAGCTCAACCCCCGCAAGCACAAATAGGTGAGTACACACAGAGTGAGAGAGTGAGTGTGAAGTGTGAGTGTGTACTCACCTAGTTGTGCTTGCGGGGGTTGAGCTTTGGCTCTTTGGTCGCGCCTCTCAACCATCAATCAACTGATTGACGGTTGAGAGGCTCATTACCTGGGTTGAACTTTAGTAACCATTTGTCGGACCATTCTTTCAGTTTATCTAGGTCATCTTGTAGCCTCATACTATCCTCCTCGTAAGTCTGCAGACACAAACAATGCTCTCTTCTGTCATGTGAGCGATTCTAATCATCCTATTGACTGGTCTTCCTCTAAAATAATCTTTCCTGCCTCTACTCTACAGACGCATCTTGTCTAATCTGCTCTGATACACAATCTACCCTACATGAACCGAGTCCTGGCTTTGTTGCTGCTGATCCTTCCCTTTTTCATACGTTCTAAGCTTTCTAGCAAACGTGACCTAACATAAGCCTACCCTTTTATCTTTCTCTTGTTTTCTTTTACGATCCCTGTCTTATTTCTATTATTACACCCTTTATTAAACCTTACCTTCCATATCTTTGGCCTTGCTCTTATCTTCCTCTAAGATTTCCATCTCCTCACCTCTCTCTCTTGTCTACTTAATACCGTTGCCTCCCTCGTCTCATCACAATCAACTTGATAATGTTCCAGAATGGACTGAAACGTCGTCGTCTCTTCAATTTCTAATGTGTGGTTTGTTCAACATTTTTCAGCCACGTTATTGTGACTTTTCATCTACATAGTTATTTATATATATAGTATGTATATAGTATAATAACACCAAAAATAGAATTATTAATTATTCTAAGCAACTAATATACTGTCGTAAGCATCTTGGTGACATGAATATATCTGAGCATTCCGATGTTCCACACATTACATAAATTTCTCAAAAGATACACTATTGAATACTGTAATAGCACTGCAAAAACCCAGAGAAATAAAATGAAACATTGGAATATGTAAAAAATATATTCGCAGCATTTCCTGCATCACAGCTGGCTCAGTGCAGCCTCACCAGAGCACTTACTCGATGAATGCTCATTTTATTTATTTTATTTATCTATACAGTATATACAAGAGTTCTTACATTCTTGTACAGTCAGTCGGGCAAGTCTTTAATTCTATGTTCCCGGAATACAACCCCACGAAAAATCGTTTAACAACAAGGTACCCATTTTACTGTCGAGTTAAACAGGGGCTACATTTAAGGATTTGTGCCCAGTAAATCCTCCTCGGCCAGGATACGAACTCAGGACAAAGCACTCGCGAAACGCCAGGCGAGCGTCTTAACCACTACACCATGGGGACTGTGTAAATCGTAACATCATTACGAGATTTCCAGGCTTCCCTATGATCAAAGTAAGTTACATAAAAATTTTTTATTATTGTTTCTGTGATCAGGGAATGCATTTTAACAATATTAGGATTTTTTTTTCCTTGCACATCGAAAATTGTTAGCTATTAACAGGTGCACAGCCTTGATAATCAAAAGTCTCTGGGATTATAGAAACCATCTAGTCTTTTCTGATACAAAAAGAGTTCATTAAATGCTACTTGCAGCATTTGCACTAAAACAGATACAGTATAAATACTATGCTCTAACTACACTGTAATTATGTTTATAATAATAAAAGAAAATATTCATAAAATTACACACCGAAATGTCTTGTTTAACAATCTAAATATTTCTCCTACAGTGAGATGTGTACTGTACAATCTTAAGAACAAGGATATTCAAAGTAATATTTGATTGGAGTAAGTTTGATGAGCCAGAATATAAAACTGTAAATTCACAGTCCTAAAGTGTGAACCGCTCTATCACGCTCTCCTCTCTTAGCATTATCTCCTGTCAGCATATGCATGAAACTGGCCGGTTCATAAGCTAGGAAATCAGCAACAGATAATGCTACACTGAGGATGAGTTTATAAATATCTTCAGTGATACACATAAAAGGAATGTAAATAATTACCCATTACTTACAAACAAAAATGAAGGTCAGTGACGTGTAACCAGTGCGACAAATGCTGACCTAGACAACAAAAATAGATCAATTCCTCCACTTTATATGCCGGTGTACTGACACTCAGTATTGGCTATAATACATTTCTTTTTGTCGTGTCTGAGGAATGCTGAGGGTTATTTATATAAATATTGCACTTGTTTGCTCCTTAGCTCCTGAAAACTAAATTTATGTTGTATTAATGAAATAAATAATATAGTATATCATGTACGTATACTCAAGCTATTAAAAAGTTTTACTAAAGAGATTTTATTAAATATACTGTAGTGTATCTAGAGAAAACTGGCTAGTGAATTAAAATCCTATTCTGATCCTCTCTTGACTTAAAAACACCATGAGCAATTACAGGAAATGATAATGAAGATACAGTAAGGCCTCAGTAATGCTAAAAATATATATATACCAGATCATCTGTTTAAACCCTTAAAACATCAGTATCTTCAGAAATTTTTATTAAAGGGCTAACATATTTATCATTCATTCATTGCATTCGGGGACAGGCAGCCAGTTTATACAGACAGTACATGTTGGCTTACGTCAAGGACCCCTCCCAGGGTTTGAATTACCCTGACTGAGTTACTGACCCTCCCAGGATACAACTCCACAACAACCTGACTAACTCCTGGGTATCTATTTACTGCTAGGTGAACAGGAGTATTAGGTTATAGGAATGCTCCCAACCATTTGTCCTGCCCAGGATTTCAACAGAAATAGTCTTTGCCTTGTGTGGTCACTACTGCATTTACCAACAAAGACTCGCAAATATATTCAAACAACTTTCAAGACTATCAAGATTATCAAGACAGGGCTTGATAATGGTCCAGGACGGACTGAAATGTCATCGTTTCTTCACTGTCTGATGTGTGGTTTGGGCATCAAGACTATAATTTTCCCATTATTCTGGCTCTACTGCTTCCATTCTATTTTTACTATATTGATGTAACTATGCAATGCCTTAAAAGAACAAAAATTGCTTTTCATATACATATTCTTAACAAGGAGACGTACACATGTACACTGCTACATTTGTGGGAAAACTAAATTAACAATTGTTCTTCAAAATATATATATTTAAAAGTCATTTAGTTCTGGGATATTTTGTGATGTAGAAACCTGCTATAACTTACAAGTGTAAGGTTGTTGTGCATCAGTAGGAAGCATTCTCTGCATGTGGCAACCAACAAAGAATGTTTAGAAATAGAAAACAAAAGCCACAGAATATGCTAAATGCAGTATAACCTCCTACTGTGCTATAACCTTCTTTCCTGTGTTATAATTTACATAATTCGTAATGCAATAATTTTACAATAATGACTAAGAAGAGATATCAAAGTAGAACAATTTAAACAGCTGAGAAATAGCAGTAAATCAAGGACCTCTCACTTGCCACACACACACACATACAAAACTACTGTAATTCAATACTTTGGATATAACAGACATATATCACTCAAAACTGTTAAGTAATATAATATAGTTTTTTGGAGTAAATTATTTAACATTTTTACAATTTACCCATCATCTCAATTACATAATTATGAGATTCCAGCATTTGCCATCAGAAAACAATTTTCAAGATAATTCAGAATCCTTGTTGCATATAAGACAAAGAATAATGTAACAATATTTTTATATCACATTAATGAAGGTAACAATAAGGAAAAGAAAAGTGGTGGTGAGCAGTGATTTTAAATGAGAAAGACCAATGTGGTTGGAGAAACACCTTGTGGAAAGAGGAACCACAGAGAGGTGTTTGTGATGTGGCTATGATTTATACCCATACAAAACTTATTCACTGTAGCGGTTATAAATTATATACTACCATACTTTTAAATTCTACAGGTATATGGACAATAATGACAGGCAAAATTTTTAATGAAGAGGTAATGTTACCTGCAACCAGGTAAGGAAGTAATGCTAAGATAAGATGTAGTTGTATGCATTCCAAGTTGAGGTATATCACTGACATAATGAGGCTCCACACACCTCCACTACTGCTTCATCACAAGAAATAATTACATTGATCAGCAGCAGCATGTCTTTATTGACTGCCATTCTTTTTCTACCTAACTCAAAGTTGTATATGCCAACTCATCTTCATCCGATTTTTTAGTATGTTTGGACAAGGTCGTTGAAATATTTGAATGTTTCTTTGCAGCTGTGGGAAGGCGAGATCTTGTTAACTCGCTTGGACTTGACAAACCAACCATCTTCTCTTGTATTTTTAACTGTTGAAGCAAAATATAATTACTGTATATATTAGACATGATTCAGTCACATTTGGGAGATTTGAGGAAGCATCTTGGATCTCTTAAAAGATTATACAGTATATAGAATTTTGTATTAATTACATAAAGTTACCCCTGTGGAGGAATAATATATTTTTTTCATCACAATTGCACCTCCTGTGGGGTTTCAGGGCAATTAGTGCCAAACACATGCTAATTTTGACCATGTTGGATTAAAGATAGAAAGGCAGTAAAGTGTGGTATTATATACGTTAGCAAAGCCACATGAAAGCAGGAAGAAATATGAGCACCAATTTTTTACAATAAATGTCACCACCATGAGATATTTAAAGAGTTTGCAGTATATATCTACACTGTATTAGAATAAACAAACTCTGTAATTAGGGTCGAATTTTAGAAGGCTTACTAACACATACTGTATCTGCTAGGAGGACTCCTGTACATAGGGATGTCTGAAAAATCAATTGAAGTGGAATGCTTAGCTCCGGTGCACATTCTCTCAGAACCCAAGGTGAAACTCCATCTGGGCCAACTACTTTATTCTTACTTAGCTCCTTGAGCATTTTTTCCAGTTTGTCTCTAGACACCTCTATGTAAACTATGTTGTTCTCTGGAATTCTTATTGTCTGGTTCTCTGGTAGTGACGGTCTAACTTCTTGCAGGTCAGCATTCAATCCCCGACCGTCCAAGTGGTTGGGCACCATTCCTTCCCCCCGTCCCATCCCGAATCCTTATCCTGATTCCTTCCAAATACTATATAGTTGTAATATTTTGGCATTTTTCTCCTGATAATTCCTTCCTTCCTTCACACATTTCTTTTCATTTTCCATGAATCTGTTTCCCATTTTCAGCCTCTAAATGTTATCCTTTACCTGCAATTTGCTTTTAATAAACTTATACAACGGGCTTGATCTTGCTTTATATTTGTCTACTAACCCTTTCTTAGAATTTCTTTCTGCCTCTCTTCCCAATGCTGTGTATTTGTTTTGTGCTTCTTTGTATTGCTGGAATATTTGAGGGTTTGGCCTCTTCCTATTTTGATTCCATTTTTGAGTCTTTTGGTCTCTGGCCCTCGTGCAATTTCTGTTGAACCAATCTTGTTTCCTAGTTCTGCTTCTCTGCTTTGATATAAATTTTGTTCTGCCTTTATCATATATTTCACAAAAATTGACATACAGTATATCTAATTTACTTCCTTGCCTAACAGCAAGTCTTTCCAATCAAATTTATTAAAGAACTTTCTAAGTTCCCATAGTGTCCTCTCCTGAAATCAGGTTTTTCAACCGCTTCAACTGCTTGGTACATAATGAGGTCATCTGCTTCAGGCTACATTGTTGAATGTGACTCCTAAATTCCAAAAGTACAATGTTCACCTTTCAAGAACATAATCCACATGCATTACACCATAATCTTTGTTTTAAATGTTCATACAAGGTGACATACCTTATTTCGGCACATACATGTACATCATTATATTTTCTTCAGAGTACATTAGCCTAATGGATATCCTATATTAACATTCTCTATACCCAATTCTATTTTCATTAACATATGTATTTAACATACGTTTTCTTTAACTCTCATCCTTCATCTGACAACATTCAAATAACTGAATCGCTGAAAATCTCTATCTAAAACTAACTCCAGTTATTGTTCACAGCCCACTCCATGACTCCTTTATCTTGCATCATGTGCTTCCTCAATCATTGTAGGATACCTCTATATGCTTTTCAGTGCAAGTTTCGTTATACAAAACCTATTTTTGCACTCCCCATATAAATTTAGGTAACTGAGACTACCAAACAGACAACTTACCTCAAAAGGCATGGGTGTGTTGATGTCTTCTAGCTCCAAATACGTGCTATTTGGATCAGGTCGTGGAGGAGGTTGAGGTAATCTTTTAGTTTCATTTATACAAGCCATCTCATCAGTTTGTGAATCCTGGAAAAATGTACAGTACTTCTTTATTTTAACCATTATATTTACAGTACAACTGTATTATTACTATTATTAACACAGATTAATTTTGTATACATAAATATCCAGGAATTTATTTACCTGAATTTACGTGAGAGCCACTATCTCTCTAGTGGCCTTGATGAGGACAGGAAGCCGGTGGCTTGTTGAGGGGTCCCTGCCATTTGTCCTGATGATTTTGTCAAACTGGATTTTTAAATTCAGCAGAGTTTTGGCATTTACAGCTTTGGCGAGTAGGTGGTACCATGGGGTTATACCTCTATGGGTGAAAAAGCATCTCCTGTTTTTTTATCCTGCATTGTGGCTTGTTGAGCTTGTAACCTTTGCTCTTTGTTTATGTTACATTTGACCTTTTGAAGTTGTTGTCTGGATTAGTATATTCCATATTGTTCAATATTTTAAAAGTACTAATGAGATCAGCCCTGTCATGTCTGGTTTGCAGTGTTGTTAGCTCTGTGGCCCTCAACCATTCCTGATGTGAAAATCGACTTGAATCAGGAATGATTTTTGTTGCCCGGCATTGAACCTTCTCTAAACTAAATACAGAATGTCTTTTTTAAGATGAGGTCTCCATGCTTGAATACAATAATTCAAGTGGGAGCACAGTAGAGATTATATATATAGTTCTCTTCAAACATAAGCATAAAGTAATTTGTTTATTCTATAAATTACAGATACAGCACCTTGCGTGTTCAGCCACATGCTTTCTGAACCCCACGAGACTGAGATTGAATGGATAACCTGTTGTGTTCAGTTAAGTGGTTCTTCATCCTGAAAGAGCATTGAGTGCAGTTTAAAAGGGCCAGTCCATGCTGAACCCTACCAAAGGTCACTAGAGGCTTACAAAGTTAGCAAGGCCCATGCCGTAACATCAGTCACCGGGGCCACTTGCTGAACATAGTATCAAAGACTAGACACAGCCTAGTGGCATAGGCGGTTGAGAAGGGTGTAAGCAGAGCACTGTAAAACAAGCATGCAAAAACCCCATGTTACCTCTCCCAAAAGAAAAATCCTGACTGTCCCAAACATCAGATCTTCACAGAGGAGTCAAAGACCTATGCACTAGTCAGGGTTAGGCTCCCTCCACAAGAGGATGGCCTCTTAGGAACAGCCATCCGAACCACCAGGGAAGAATCCTGTCAGGACAGGGGCAACACCAGTGAGGGCACCTCGAGATGCATGCAGCGCAAGGTGAAAAGGTAATTAGGGGTCCACACAAGAAGTGAGGCACCGAAAAACAGGCACATCCACCAAATACTAAGAAAAGAAACTTCACAAGTAAATGGGCTTCTGCAAGACATAGTCCAAGGGATGGCCATCTCTAATCTAATAAACCGGGATGCAAAAAGCACCAGTGGATATCAGAGTTCAGCCTAGCCTAGCATATTTTGCACTAGTTCAAACTGCATGCATTGAATGCATACATATATTTTCTTCACATTTTAATATTTTTACCATGGTTTTTTTCAAGTGCAGTTATGCACTGGGCTGTAAATATTATTTGTACCACAGAATGTGTAGAATATAGATACACATAGATATATTCGTGTCACTAATATGAGTTCAATATTATATTCTTCAAGCAATAAAACATACTATTTTTTTATGTTATTACATCATTATTAATATGTCATACACATATTATATAGAATACAATCAAAAGTTTTATGCAATTCTGGTGACTACTGACTACTAGTGTGTGGCATCATCAGCTGACTACTGCCACACACTAGTCAGCTGATGATGCCATCTGACAGAGCACAATGCCTCCCAATATACTATGCACATTGCTATTTCTAGCCACAATACTAATACCTACTAGTATTCTAGTAGTAAATTACAGTAACTAGAAGTGGATCTATTAGATTTTATAAAGCCCTTACAAGCAAAATAAAATTTTCAATTAAAGCCTCACTCAACTTGGTGTTCCTCTACATAAATTTCTATAAATATTTACTTTAAAATTATTCATCTGTAAGAAACTGTCTGGACTATATGCCTTATAAAATGCATCTTATGGCAACTTCCTGATAGTTGCCGGGTCTCTTCTGTACTTGCAGTTTAGCCTGGTGTACTTAGCTGTTGGTGTTGGCAGCCTACACTAAATGTAAGCAGAATACCTTGGCTGATTTAACATTCTCCCTGTGGTGGCTTTTAGCTTGTTACATAGTGATTAAGACGCTCGCCTGGCGTTTCGCGAGTGCTTTGTCCTGGGTTCATATCCTGGCCGGGGAGGATTTACTGGGCGCAAATCCTTAATTGTAGCCTCTGTTTAGCTCAACAGGAAAATGGGTACTTGGTTGTAAAAACAATTTTTCGCGAGCTCGTATTCCAGGGAACATAGGATTAAGGACTTGCCTGAAATGCTACGCATACTAGTGGCTGTACAAGAATGTAAGAACTCTTGTATATATAAATAAATAAAAAATTAAAATAAATACTTTGAAGAAACTTTTCAAAAACTGTCTTGAATGTATTGACCGGTTATACCTGCTTGCATGCTGAAAGCTGTAGGCTCTGAGTTCTGATTCAGAACTATGTTCACTTCTCTTAAATGCATCTTAATGCATTATTTAGATTTTAAACCATTAATCTTCCTTGGATTCTCTAGCCATCAACTTAGCACATTTCATTCAATTAAGATTTAATACAAATCTAGTTTAATACTGTACTTACCTCTCTCACCTTAGGCTGTGGATGATTGTCCGAGGTGTCTGGTAATGAATACACATTGTCAAGTGATGTACCTATAAAGGAAATAAAAACACACAATTAATTTGCTTATAATGTACTGTATCCTTCACACTGAACTATTTTCATTTACAAATACACTCATTAAGAAATCCGCAGGAGCAGTGATGAGGGTTAGATCCTATGTGGTTGATGTTCCCACGCATACACTTCTAGTGACCAGACCACGACATGGTATCGTGTTCATGTCGTGGTTCTACTTACCACTAAACAAATTAATAATTAAGTTTCTAAACTTACGTCTTAGCAAATTAAAGAATTGTTCCACCACAGATTTACGTCGGGCAACACCAGGAGTTGAAGAAGTATTTGGTTCTGGTGTTCCACTTTGTGATGGTGACACCTCTCCTGTCTCAGTTTCTGAAAATTAAATGAATAAACTGAAGCATTTGAAATACAGTATGGATAATAATATATGATAGTAATATATGGATACAGAATGACTGATAGTGGATAAGACATGCACATCAATACTATGGAAGATTTACACAAAATTATGTTCAGAGTTTATGAAAAGCCTATTCCTACGAAAGTTTATGCTGATGCTTTGTGCTTTGCCAGGATGACAACATAATAAGGAAGAGCACAAATAAACTGAAAAGGCACTGTCGGTCGGCCAAGCGGACAGCACGCTGGACTTGTGATCCTGTGGTCCCGGGTTCGATCCCGGGCGCCGGCGAGAAACAATGGGCAGAGTTTCTTTCACCCAATGACCCCGTTACCTAGCAATAAAATAGGTACCTGGGTGTTAGTCAGCTGTCACGGGCTGCTTCCTGGGGGTGGAGGCCTGGTCGAGGACCGGGCCACGGGGACACTAAAAAGCCCCGAAATCATCTCAAGATAACCTCAAAATAACACTAACCTGTAAATTCGTTGCCAGAATCCTTCACTTTATTTGAGTCTAATTTATTTTTGACTTCAACAATCTTGTCCTGGTTCTTCTCAACAAAAGTCTTGATGTTTGTCTTCTCCATCCAGGCTGATACAAGGTTGTACACGTCTGCACTATACTCTGAAGAAGGAAATAAATAAATTAGTTACCTGTTCTAATGTACAGTGGCGGCTCAATTAACGAGTTTAATCCGTTTCGGCACCGAGCTCGTCATGTGGAAAACTCGTCTTGTGAAATAACAACAAAACTGTCGTCGGAGGTGTCCGAGAACCAGCGGGAACGCTCGTTAATAGAGCGAAGGCTCGTCAGTCGAGACACATTTTCTGAGAGTGGCTTGCTCATTACTCAAAATGCTCGTAACTGGAGCCGCTCGTCACTTGAGGTCACACTGTATTTAAATACTGTATATAAACATAATGATACTAAATTTTTTTACAATAAACAAATAGTGATGAAAGTTACCAACTAGAAATGATTAATGGCATATTTAGTAAATTTCTGGGTGCAGTAGTAGTTAAAGATAAACTGATAAAATAAATATTAATGTCAATCAAATGCACCTCATCCATAAATACATGAGATATTACATGGAAAGAAAATATATGTACACAGAAGGCTTTCAGTTAATACAAAACAGTATTTTTCACTTTCATTCCATAAAGAACCAAAATCAATATCAATCACTCTTAGATACCTTACATGTACATAAAAAAAATTATTGCTAAGGACTTTGAGCTGATGGTACTTACCTGGTCCATTCATTGCTATATATTCATCATCTTGATATACAATTTTTTCACTTTCAATTTGTTGTTCAGTAGATGGTGAAGGTGGGTGAAGTAATGTCTCTGGAGAGGGAGGCGGCGGCAAGGTTGGAGAACATACATGGTCCTCTCGCACTTGTATATCACTCAGTGTTGGTGACAGAGGTGGAGGAGGAGGAGGAGGAGGAGGAAGAGACAAGCCCTCTGAACTCTCCATCTTCAAACCTGAATCTGCGAGTTTGTTCGTAGAAACTTCCCGAGGTGGAGGCAGTGGGTCGTATTCAAAAATATGATGCAAGTCACATGGTCGAGGTGGTGGTGGACTGTTGTACATCCCTTCACACAGACGAGACTCTGTCAAGCTGACTGATCTTTTCTTTAATGTTGTATAACCAACCTTTGCTGCCAGAGATGCTACCAGCTGCAAAAAATTAATATCCAGTATTTTAAATTAGCAAATTTAATTGTGAAATTACCAAAATATTTTAGAATTTTTTGGGAAACCAACATTTACAAAAAACTAATCTGTTTTCATTAATCTTCCATGAGTATATAAAAGTAATATAATTCCACCAGACGTGAATATATTGAACGAAAACTTTTCTGTGTGGAGCCCCTACGGCTCCCTGAGCTATTGGACTATTATGTATGTGATACATTAGATCAGAGGCATTAGTCAATGGAGTTCGGCCTACTGGGGACCATAAGCCAGAACCTGGCCTCCCCTCAGAGAGGAGCAGGGAGCAATGGCCCTGGAAAACCCTCCCCTGTGGTTGAGGGTTTTCCTTATCTGCCATCGACCGGGGCTAGGAACCCAGAGAGGTAGGCATAACAAAACAAACCCCACATGGTAAGAAAATTACAACTAAAAACTGAACAGAGAGGCAGAACTCCCTCCAATCCCAACGAAACAAGCAAACAAGTAAACATCACACTCCATTGCCACGTTGCTCGTCCGCACAGCCCTCCCCTCCCCGCGCCAGCTACCTAGCACTCCAGTTCATTCTCTAATGTGGTCCGGGGCGGAGGTGTTCTCTGGCCTCGAATTCCAAGGCGGTGTTTTGTCTTCGTGGCAACCTCTGCAGTGTTGTTGTGTGTGGTGGCCAGGTGTCCTCAAGAGTACCAGGGCTGCACGCGCTTAGGGGAATCCTTCCCTAGGCACCCTGTGAGTGCATCCTTACATGTTAGGGTTATCTTCCCTGGTGCATTTGGGAGCCATTTCCATAGGGGTTTTTGCTGCTCAGCATGTACCCTGCCCTTGGCGCCAGCTGGGGTTTCGTAGCCCTCGTTTGGCCTTGGGTAGGGAGTGGTATCATGCTGGTTGGGGCGTCAATGTGTTGTGCAGCCTACTTACCTATGCAGCGATCGGTTCCCGTTTCCTCTGGGGACATTGTACTTTTGCTTGATTGTGTTCTCTGCTTGTTCTCTAGTACTATTCTGATGACATTACAGTTAGGGTACAGGCAGCATCTGCATTGCATGCTAGGTTCAGGCTGCTGCAACGAAGAACCCCGAAGAACTTTCAAAGACGAACGGGTAAATTGGAGTACGAGCCCTAGAGCTTTCCAAGAATACCTGGATTTTTTCAATCCTATCTTACAAAGCGATATTTTCAAGAATAGCTGAATCTTATCCAGAATACATGAATCTCTTCTTGAATACCTAAATCTCTTCCAGAATATCTTACAAAGCAATCTTTTCCTATAATCTTTTCAAGACGACCTTACATGTCACAAGCTTGGCTACATACCATCTACAGGTGTGAGGCCAAGGGTGTATATGAGTGTGTTATTTGCAAGCACACAGAACAAAGAAACAGGAAGCAAAAATCTGTTTGTACCTGGTGCATCGAATGCAAAGTCGCGCTGTGTACCATGGACTGCTGCTTTGATTATCACTCACTTCCAAAGTACTGAGTGTGTAATACAGTTTGTGACTGTATTAACAGTATGTGAAAGTGTACATATTGTAAATATATTGAATACTGAACAGGTAATATTGCACCAATGAACATTTGTTGTGGACACATTACTGACATATATCACAGTTCCATGGAACATTATGAATGTTCTACTGTATACATATTGTCAAGGACACAAAAGTCCATACACAATAAAAAAACTAATTTTATAGCATTGAAAATACATAGAAAAAATCAATGTTAATATATTTGTGTCAGCTCGTGAGGCTTGAATAGCCCGGGCAACTGCCTCTGGGAGCTTCACGCACGGCCGAACAACCCGTGATGACGTCACGCATCACTTTGTCCTCGTCCCCACAGCCAAATTAAGTTTAAATATGTTATTTTTTTTTTTTACATGTACATGTTCAGGGAAGGGAATTTAACATTTTACAAGGACAAAAACAAAATTTTGTGAACATTTGATTTTTGGTGCAGAGCCAGAGCTTCACAATAAACGTGGTGCATCACAGTGGTTAAGGTCACTTAATTATTGCATATCTTTGCTAAATTACTTGAGCATCTCACAATTGTTAGCTTACTTCTTACTCAGCTTTAAGTGTTTCCCCTCTTATTCCTATGAAGAATTTAAATGAATTATTTTTAGTTTTGCTTAAAGTGCTTTGCATATTAGTGGCTTTATTTAATATGCAATCCATGTACCCTCAAATTTAACACTGTAATATGTTCTCGTGTCTGTATATTTCATGAATAAAATATTATTATTACTATAATATTACTCACTGCTGCATCCTCCAGAGTCTGAGCCAGAAAAGAGAAGCTCATCTGGTATGCCAGCACAGAAGGAGTATGTCCGTGGCAATTTGGAGTGTTCAGAGCTGCTTCGCCTCCCGGAATCTCCAACAAGGCCCAAGTCAAGCGTTCTAACCCATAATATGCACTGAAGTGAATCCACGTAGGAAACTCACAGCCATCTGTACAGAATGACATCAAGATATAACAAATTTATACATACACACATCTTACATTGTTTCATATCAAAGGGCAAATCAAGTATCCTTGCTAAGATACCAACTTTAATTTACTAAAAAGCCTCTAGATTTCTAGCTTCAGCCAATGCATTTCTCTACAACAAATCACTTGAACTCCAAACCTTTCCTAATATTCTGAAAAAAACGAAAGTAACCCAAATCTATAAATGTGGTGGTCTCACTGATGTCAACAATTTCAGACCTATATCAATTCTGCCAACCTTGTCTAAAATATTTGAGAAGTTAATCTACAAGCAGCTTTTATTTAGCTAAACACAATATACTTAGCTTTTGCTAATATGGCTTCAGACCCAAAAAAACATGCGTTGACTGTAAAGAAACGCCATTTTCTGGATGAGCCCCGGAGACTCCCTGGAGCTATTTGGCTATGTGTGATATATTAGACCAGGGCATTAGTCTATGGAGTTCATCCTACCAGGGACCATGAGCCAGAACCTGGCTCAGAAGGAGACAGCTGCAACTGAACAAACTGACCACAGGGACCGAAAGAGTGGAAACCCCTGCACCGGAGAGCAAGAGAGCCGCATCAAAAAGACCAGATGCGAAAAGTGGAGAAGATCGAACCAGCCGTGTACCAGACTGAGCTGACCTGCTGGAAGAGGTGGAGCTGCAGAAAATGTCTGCAGCCAGAAAAGATGACAACCAGAAAAACTTCTGGTTGTCTTTCTATCAATATTGTGATCTCGTATCCCCAAGCTTCCCTACGTCTACTATATTGTGGAGGCCAGAGTGGTCTGGTAGGCGATTGTGATTCATTAAAGCCTGGTGTGTTGTATCTAGCTTTAGAGGATTCCAAGTGGGCAGCTCAGGAAGCCACCACAAGAAGCCCTTCCAGGAAAGTGCTTACCTGTTTACTATCTAATCTACATTTCCAAATATCATCTAAACCATTTAACAAACATTTGTATAACGTACCTTTATGTTGCATATTTGGTTCATCAACTCTTTGGAGGGGTAGATGAAGCTTTACTGTATCTGCCAATTTCTGATCTAGCTCATCACTTGTTGGACTGATGTTCAGAGCCTGTAGTAGTTATATAAATATAAGAGCTTCATCTAATTGTGTCACATAACTAAGGTAAAATTAGCAATATAAAATTTAGAAAACCTAAATACTGTAACTAAATATCCACCAATCGAAAACCAAGTGTTAAAAGTAATGAAATATTCTTTTCTGGTAGGCCTTCAACAGTGCTCTGGTACTGCTCAGTCGAAAGATAATGCCAGGCCTTGGAGATCGATGCTGACCTATCAGGAGCCTGGACCAGAATATGTTCCAAAGCTACCTTTGCCTTATAGAGCAAGCCAGATTTTGGACTGAGTGATATGAACTAGTAGTTTGGCTTGGTTAATGATTGATTATATAGATAGGGTCAGCAATGCAAATGTTATGCAGCTACTTGTTTTGGTGCACTCTATTTTTCTGAAGGTTTTTCTCTTCGTTATTTTAGTGATCCTAGATACTCAGACTTGACCTTCCTTTTATTGGGTGGACCAAAGTCTGGTACTGGTGATCAGTAAGTGCTCGTGAATCAATAGAGCCTGGTGTGATACCGAAGGTTTGATAGATATACCAGTGAGTAGCTTGGGAAGCTACTAATACTCTTCATCCCACAGTCCAAGTATTATATGATTCAGTACAGGCAACTACACTACTCTCAAGCTATTATTGACAACAAGGGTTATCTCTCTCAGTCTGACACTAATACAAAATTACCATCCCTAACACTGCAGATTCATTATGTAATAAAGGTATTGGGACATGAAATCACCTACTGCAACTCTGTTTTACTAAACCTTTACATAGAAACATAACTTCCTCTTATTACAAAGTAAAGACACAACAATTAGGAAGAATAAGATAGAATGATAATACATACCATTATATATGGTCATGAGATACTGGTGTGGAAGAAGCACTGTACGATAAAATCAATAAAGCTGCAGAAATGACCAACCCAAGATGCATTTGTGATTCAGGAAGGTCAACACTTCAGATGTCATGGAAATTGTGGAGAACAAAAGTCAATACAGTTCTCACAAGAATGAAGATACTGTAGTTTGGTTATACTGAATGAATGGATAATGGAGTGGCTACAACAGTACTGTATATTCAAGAACATTTCAAATAGAAAAAGGAGAGGAAAGCCACAGTGAAGATGGAGTAACACAGTAAGTATACGAGGAAGAAGGGACTAAGTATGACGAGCGCACGAGCAGTGTTATGAAATAAGATTAACTGAATCGGTTAGTTATTGTTTTCTAGTTGTCTCCTATTTCTTCTGAGCTGATACCTACACCCACTCCTTGAGTGATGAGGGGGCTGAGCACTTTGTAATTAATATAACTATGTAGTGTACTTGATTCTTTGGAAAGTGGAAAAGTTTATATATTTCTACATGAAATATCCTGTATTATTAAAATACAGGAATATTATATATATATATATATATATCCTATACAAAAGATGAATATATGACTATTTTTAGGAAAGTACAGAAACATACTACTTAGGATATCCAACCAACGATGCAATGTTTCTATAAATGGTGAATATATATTGGTTAATGTTTAGTGTGAAAAGTAATGCCCACGCTTATTTGTACCTGGCACATGAAATCAGTTGGGTTCGACACAGTACTGAGAATATTTTTCAAAGTATCCATACTGCTTTCACACTTCAGCTGTCTTGAGCCAATCCTTTTTTTATTAACCAACACAGTGACGAGTAGAAGGGACGATCCTTTCAAGAATTTTTCTGAAATACCAAGAAATATTAATAATAGTACTGCAAGATAATTTACAGTCTAAGAGATGAACATTTAACTGTTTTAGTCCACCATAGACACTTATCAATTGTCTATGCAATATATGAAGATGAAAATTTCATCCAATTTTTTGCTCATTTTGGGTTTGATGTTCATTTGTTTCAACAGTGGTACTGACAAACTCTTCACAAACACTCTTAAAAATTTTGAAGACACTAAAGCATCTACCAATGCCCAATACACTTTCTTTAACACCCAGCTATCTTAAAGATTGCCAGCAGCAGTCTTCTCAAAGCAGTTACTGGTATACTCTATTACAAAATTGCACTCTTCCACAGCGGCACTCCTGTCACCCACTGACTCCCGCTTCAGTCAAGCCTCCATCTTTACTCTGTTTCTCCTTTTATATCAAATATAAATATTTACTATGTAATCATTGTTATCAGAGTCTTTCTAGTTTTTTATACTACTATTACTGTATTATTATTTCTATCTTATTCTGCCATCTTTTTTCCTTCTTCCCTTTCCTTCTCTATTTTCCTCTTCTATATTCTTTGTTTCCCTTTTCCCCTACCTTCTTTGTTTCCTTCTATCACTACCCTTTTTGTTTCCTTCTACTCCTACCTTGCTTGTTTCCCTCGACCCATGCCTTCCTTGTTTCCATCTTCCCTTATCTCCTTTGCTCCCCTTTCTCTACCTTTCTTGCTTCCCTCTTCCTCTATCTTCTTTGTTTCCCCCTCAACTATCTTTTTTTTAAATTTTTCTACCTTGTTTGTTTCCCATTCTCCTATATTCATTATTTTCCTCTCCTTCCTTTTTTATCTGTTCTTCTATCAAGATCATAAAGAAAGTTATATTCCTGTAAATACAAATAGGTACTACTCTCACACAAACAATTGCGAACAAAAAATATGATTACAAAACAATTATAGCTACCTGGCATTCGAAAGTCGATAGTATATGGATTTCGAAGATGCCATTTTTTGACTGTTGTGCATTTATGTATAGGTGGATCTTCTATCAACACTTCAACTTCTTTTTTGTTTTTAACTGGTTCGTCCATCATTATATACAGTGGTTGCTGAACCTGTAAAAATAAAATAATATATTACCGATAAACAAAAATACTGTAATTTAAAACGCAAAATCAAAAGGAACATTTAAGTAGCTGATAAGATTATTTCTAATGTAGTTGCCACACTCTGATGACTTTTCTTACATAAAGATATTTTGAAAGCATTGATGGTTAGATGGAAGGACAATCACTATAATTTCAAGCCAAAACTTTGTGATTAAGATGTCATAGCCTAATTTTCAGAAAATTACTTTTGCTAAATATTGCTTTGAAAGTACAGTTCTGTAGATAAAAGTTCTTTCAAAGCAAGGTACTTGGGTGTTCTCTCCAGCAAGTGTCCAGCTCTCCCCAGGACAGTCAAAAATTAATACAGTATCTAATAAATTATGTAATACTGCAGATTCTTTTCCTGAGAAAGAAACAAAAATGTACTGTACCATATTAACTTTACGAGGTGTGACCTTGAACTTTGCATTTCTTTCGTCTTGATAATGTGAAAAAAGTTCAGAGTTGTTAAGAATGCTGATGCCTTCAGCTAAAACTTCATATATGAAGGACATATCCATATTCCGAACCTTGAGTCGATGCCAGTCATTGTAGGAATACAAAACTGAAAAAATATTTTACAGTTAGAACAAATTTTAATATGAAATACTGACTGAAATTTTTGTATTGCTAAAATATTATTTTAGATATAAACAGAATGAAATAACAGGTAAGAACATGTTACTTAGAAAATATGCATAAAACAAAAAGATTATTATTAAAGAAAACAAAAATACCTGTACTATTATTCCTAATACATGAACAATAATGCCAAAAGGAAAGCTCTTAACATTATTGGAATAAATTTAGTATATTAAATCACCATCATCACTACCTATTTCTTACTTCCACGGGGGCACTGATGTATGAGCCCAGGAAGAAATATGGAGGAGCAAATACAAAAAACATTAAAAAAAAGAATAAAAAGACACCTAATCCATTTTCCATACTGAGTCTTCCACACTTCATACTGAAGTATCACACACACAGATCTCAGACCAGAGATTGTATTCAAAATGTTGCAATAAATCTGCCCAAAATGCTGCGCGTACTAGTGGCTTTACAAGAATGTACTGTAATTACCATTTTATGTATCCTCACAGCCCCAATGTACCTTCTTGTATATATATAAATAAATAAATAAATCTCTTGACCAGTGAACCGAGCATGTACAAAAATTAAACATTAATAGATACAAAACAATAGTACCAATGGCCCGGTTGTTACGTTCAGTCAAGGATAAGAAGATTGGACTAGTTTATGTATTTACTATTGATTCCCCCAATGAAGGACGGGTACAGAAGTAGGAAACAGAGTAGTGATAATGCTGATAATAACGCTTCACAAGACAATGTACACAACTTGCTCACCTGAGCGATGAGCCATAGTAAACTGGCTGTCATCAACGCCTAGCAGCAAGGCCAGCACTTTCTCCGGCTTAAATACTTGACCCAGCTCACATCTCACATGTTTACCAATGTGATCCAAGAAGCATGGCGACAATATGACAATCTGAAAGGAACCACCATGTTGTATTATAATTATATAGTATCATCAAATGTAATTATCATAATCTACCCATTAGAATTTATTTATCATCATAATCTCATTATAATCCATTATAAAAGTTTACAACAACCATATACAGCAAATATATTTGTTCAACAGGTAACATGTAACATGACAAACTTTATTATATTATATTGTTATAGTATAATATTAACTAAATAATATACAGCAGAGTCTATCCAGATCTACACGTTTATCATAAGGAACTTATTGATCATAAACAGTTCCAGCTTTAACCCACTAGTTACAGAACAAATGTTGACTTCAGCCTCCACAAACACAAACAGGTGAAGAGTCGGTGCCTGGCAGCTGAAGCCTCAGTCCCACAAACAGGTGAAGAGTCGAGGCCCAGCAGCTGAAGTCTCAGCCCCCACAAACAGGTGAAAAGTCGAGGCCCAGCAGCTGAAGTCTCAGCCCCCACAAACAGGTGAAGAGTTGGTGCCCAGCAGCTGAAGCCTCAGCCCCCACAAACAGGTGAAAAGTCGAGGCCCAGCAGCTGAAGCCTCAGCCCACAAACAGGTGAAGAGTTGGTGCCCAGCAGCTGAAGCCTCAGCCCCCACAAACAGGTGAAGAGTTAGTGCCCAGCAGCTGAAGCCTCAGCCCCACAAACAGGTGAAAAGTCGGTGCCCAGCAGCTGAAGCCTCAGCCCCCACAAACAGGTGAAGAGTTGGTGTCCAGCAGCTGAAGCCTCAGCCCACAAACAGGTGAAGAGTTGGTGCCCAGCAGCTGAAGCCTCAGCCCCACAAACAGGTGAAGAGTTGGTGCCCAGCAGCTGAAGCCTCAGCCCCACAAACAGGTGAAGAGTCGGTGCCCAGCAGCTGAAGCCTCAGCCCCACAAACAGGTGAAAAGTCGGTGCCCAGCAGCTGAAGCCTCAGCCCCACAAACAGGTGAAGAGTTGGTGCCCAGCAGCTGAAGCCTCAGCCCCACAAACAGGTGAAGAGTTGGTGCCCAGCAGCTGAAGCCTCAGCCCCACAAACAGGTGAAGAGTTGGTGCCCAGCAGCTGAAGCCTCAGCCCCACAAACAGGTGAAGAGTTGGTGCCCAGCAGCTGAAGCCTCAGCCCCACAAACAGGTGAAGAGTCAGTACCCAGAATGTAAATAAATACCATATTATGGAATGTGGAATAAGAGAAAATAGACTACACACAACCTACAAATTATGTGAAAAAGCTTTACAAAATACTGTAGAAATCCTGGAAAGAGGAAGGGGGTTCTAGATAGAAAACTATCACCCGAGGACCACCTAAAGAACACGGTGCGAGGAGCCTATGCTACGCTTTCTAACTTCAGAATTGCGTTTAAATACATTGATGGTGAAATACTAAATAAATTTGTCACGACCTTTGTGAGACCAAAGCTGGAATATGCAGCGGTAGTATGGTGCCCATATCTTAAGAAGCATGTCAACAAACTTAGAAAGGCGCAAAGTCATGCAACTAATTGGCTACATCAATCTCTACAAAATCTACAAAATGATTAGGGAAGAATTCCTGAGACCTGGAACTTCAAGAACTAGAGGGCATAGATTTAAACTAATTAAACAAAGCTGCCGAAGAAATATAAGGAAATTCACTTTTGCGAAGAGTGGTAGACGGTTGGAACAAGTTAAGTGAGGAAGGGGGTGGAGGCCAAAACCGTGTTTCAAAGCGTTATATGACAAAGAGTACTGGGAAGACGGGACACCACGAGCATAGCTCTCATCCTGTAACTACACTTTGGTAATTACGTTACCTGAAGCTTTGCCGCCTTCAGCTTTACAGCTTGCAGACGTCCAATGTCATCCTTTATGTCCTGTACATTCTTTACCTCAACCCTGAAAAATCATAATTACATTTGTAATTGTATATGATGCAATACACTCTTTTCCCCTTAAAAATAAATAAAATATATGCATTTATTTAAACAAAAATGGATATTTATTTGACTTTACAGAAACCATGCTATTATCGCCCTTATATACATTATAAATCTTCATATGTGTTAATGTCTGCAAATGATTTTTGTGCAAACTAGATCAGTATTAAATGTCAACCATTTTATTAATTATAGTTCACTGAATTTGTATAACACTTACACGTTAATTGATAATTTTAACTTTAAATCTAGTTTCCGCTACGATTACTACTAATGTTAACTTTTACTGCTGCTTTAACTGGTTATGGATCTCTTAGGGCTCCTCCGCTTCCAGAAACAGAGGCGCTGAAACAAGAAACTGGCAGCCCTTGAGTCTCTGGTGATATCAATGAGCTTGGAACCTTATTCTTTGAGAAATCCCAAGGCACTCCCTCCCCAGGGGTCGAGGCTCTCACACGCTATGAGAACAAAGCTGTATTGACCTTCCAATCGCCTGTATTTGATTAATTTTGCTATTTCAGTCTGTATATATAACACCTGCGTTGATCGTCAGTATATACATATAAATATGTGAGAAAGCTGCAGGAAGCTGCAGGCAAGCCTAGTACCAGATATTATGCAGGCGATGAGTCACAATAACGTGGCTGAAGTATATTGACCAGACCACACCTAGAAGGTGAAGGAACGACGACGTTTCGGTCCGTCCTGGACCATTCTCAAGTCGATTGTCTTGAGAATGGTCCAGGACGGACCGAAACGTCGTCGTCCCTTCACCTTCTAGTGTGTGGTCTGGTCACCCGATATTATCTTCCTTGGAAACGTCAGTCTAAGTCTAAGATGGAGAATAGCAAACAATGATGTTATACCAGGAAATCAACCTGGAAATAATCAATCAGAGAACTAGTAAGAATCTGTGACAAATTTTCGCTCAACCAGTAGATAACTAGGAACGAAAATACTCTAGATCTGACCTTCACAAACAGTGAAGAAATCAAAATAAAGATGTCCACCAGTATTGGACCTATAATTGCAAGTGAAGGTTCATACACGAAGGATGACAAGGAAATTAGTGAAATCCTTAAAGCTCAGGACATTTTGCACGCCAATAACAACATGAGAGTGGAAGATGCAGACAGCTTCTTTATGAAAGATATCCAAACCCCCTGACAATATAACAGATATCAACATGAACACTATAGATGTTGACAGATAAATTAACAACATACCCATGCTCCAGGTCAATATGATGGAGGTACTTTGTGTATCTCTCCATCTATATAGCATCTCCACAAGTACCAGTGAGAGCAGTTTAAGTGTTCCCAGGAAATTACCAGGATATAAATCGTAAAATCTGTTTCTTTTTACCATATTCACTATGTCTCATGCCCCATCTTACCGGACTCCTCGGTACCCGTCTTCCTTGGGGGCCAGCAGGGTGAACATGTCGTAAAGATACCGCTTCCACTTGTCTCCGTCTGTGGCGTGTAGGATGGTTATGTCCACCTCCACGTTCTCACCTAAACCACATAAAAATAACATGTAAAAAAGAGTCTGCCCGAAACGCTTTGCGTAATAGTGGCTTTAGGCATTGTATGTACTAGCTCTATCTATAAATCCATCAACTTTGTATCTTACCTTGTATGTATGTACCTTACCTGAATAAAAAATTTATTTATTTATTTATAAAACAAATTAAGCGTATGTTACTAGTGCTTGCCTTAGGCTGGGTTCTGGCAGAGACAATGATTGACAATATGGTATTGAACCAGGGAATAGAGACCACAGGGAAATTAGTTTTAATATAGAATCGAAAAGTTGCGTGATAGAAAAACTGCTAAAGTGCCAGATTTCCATTTAGTTCAACTAATTAGAAATGTTTAAAAACTAAGCTAAAATATACTATGAAGTAAGTACAGCAGTATAACACATCATGCTAAGACAAATCATAAAGACTTTTTTTCAGATATATCAACCAAATATTAGAGAGAAAAATTGGGTCACTGAAAACTGAGACAGATCAGGTAACTGATAATGACAAAGAAATGGGTGATATTTTAAAATAAGAACTTTATATTATGCCTAAAGCTGAACAAATCAATGTAAATGGCGAAGAGATGTTGTGTAGTAGTGGTTACAGAGGAAGTTATTGAACAAATGCAAAAATTAAAGCCAAACAAGTTCCCAGGGCCGGACAAAGTACTGGCCAGTGCTTGAAGAATGTATAAAAAAAAGAGCTAAGAGAACTATATTTTGCATATTACTATTATTTAATGCCAATAGAGTCGTGAAAGGTTGCTAATGTGGAGCCGATACGTAATTAAGGAGATAGATTACTTGCATCGAACTATCGCCCAATTAACTTAACGTCTATTGTAGGAAAATGGCTTGAATTGTAACTGTAAGCCATTTTCAACGGGATATTTTGCACTTCCTGCTATGCCTTCTGATCTCATGAAGAATTATATCTGTGTGCAAATTTGGAACCAGTCTTTCTAATAGCTTTCAAGTGTAAATTATTGTGTATCCTCTCGCCTGTGCTCTAGAAAATACAGATTTAAAAATTGTAAGTACAAGTAATAACAATTAATAACTTTACTGAGTGGATTCGGACAGTAAAATACCTTTGCAAGATCTCTAGGTCAACAATTTCTCCAGCTTTGAATAAGGTTGTTAAATGGCAACAATATTCCACTCTAGAGGTTACCTTGAGGTGCTTCCGGGGCTCAGCGTCCCCGCGGCCCGGTCGTCGACCAGGCCTCCTGGTTGCTGAACTGGTCAACCAGGCTGGTGGACGCGGCTGCTCGCAGCCTGACGTATGAGTCACAGCCTGGTTAATCAGGTATCCTTTGGAGGTGCTTATCCAGTTCTCTCTTGAACACCGTGAGGGGTCTGCCAGTTGAGCACTAGTGTCTTAAAAAGTATCGTCATTGGTATGTGATCTCCAGTTAGAAGGGGTCATGTCATCCAACCTGTCATTTGTCATGCAGTTGTGACAGCCACTTTATTGTGTTTAAATGTCACACAACACCACCGTCACATAAGTAGTTTAAATGGCCACAAATCGCGGCCTTTTTAGTTTTCCCAACAACCGCAATTTGGCTCAAATTTGTCCTTGAAAATTGACAGCTGCGTTTGGCGCACTAAGTTTTCTCTTGTGGGCCTAGAGTTGGCGCACTGGATTTTTCCGTGGAGATTAAGGGCATCCTCCCGACATCCCTAATTTTAGTTACCTGGGCGACGCGCGGTCCAGACATCCCTAGGTTTCAATGATGACATCAGCCAGCCAGTCTTCATGTTCCCTTAATAAGTCCGTTTTCCATAAGTGCATATTTAATCGCATTAATCCCATCTCCAGTATCAGCTAGTGAGACTGATAATGGCTCCAAGACAGCTGTTATCTCAAAGTTCCTGAGACCATATGTGCCTGTATAACCTTCTCCACTACCGCCCAAGGGATAGCATGGGGTGCATAGTAAGTGAAGTAGATTAAGCATTACGGTAATGGCATATTACAAAAAGTGTATCATAAAATGAGAAAGACGAGACTTACCCAGACTCTCTACAGAGATTCATAACAACGTTATGAATCTCACAAGTCAAGCTTGGCCTCGGGCCGGGCTTGGGGAGTAGAAGAACTCTCAGAACCCCATCAACCAGGTATCAACCAGGTATCAACGTCTATATAAAAGGAAGCACTTAAGGTTTTGCATGCGTGTGCATATATCATATATATCCAAACTCAAGGTTAGCTTCACACAGAGGTCTACCTCTCCGTAGGGTGCAGTCGCACCTCCACAGATCTCCAGTATAATCTATTGATACTGGTAATGGCTCCAAAGGGCCACCACTTACGGGCTATTCATGCCCGTGCCACCTTTTGGGTGGCTTAATCTTCACCAATCTTAGCTTCACACATACACATTTGGGCTCATCTGTGGAACAGGAAGTGTAACGGGAAGAGGAAGAGCCAGACCACAGGACCCATACCTAGAGGATGGAGTGAAGAGTCTCCGCATCACCTTATCGTGCCTGTCTTATCTTCTCCCAGGCAGGAAGAGGGAGGGGGAAGCACGGCCTGTACACCCACGCTCACTCATTACAAGTACTCAACCTTCAACATGACTGTGGAAGTCGACTAAAAATTTAGCAGCAGGGCTTGGTGGAGCCAGGAGCCGGCATGATACCTGGAGCATACCTGGAGAGGGTTTCACGAGTTTTTCTACTCCCCGAGCCCGGCCTGAGGCCAGGCTAGACGTGTGATAACTTGGTCCAACAGGCTGTTGGTTGAAGTGGCCCGCAGATCCACATATCCACTACAGCCTGGTTGGTCCGGCACTTGTTGCAAGAACTTATCTAATTGCCTCTTGAATACATCCACCTTCATTCCGGCAATATTTATAATGCTTGCTAGCAGGGTGTTGAACAGTTGTGGACCACTGATGTTCACACAATGTTCTCATATTATGCCTATGGCACCTCCACGCCTCACTGGTGGAGGTGCCATAGCATCTCCTTCCATAACTTTCGCTCCAGTGTGATGCTACAGAGTGCCATGGGCAACACGCGGCTGCTGCCATAACTGACGCAGGTCACCATCCCATGTTAAGCCCCAGGACAATCCCTGGCAACTCCAAACAATTGCCAATGAATAACAATGAAAGAAATAATATATCTATAATAAGAATGCTTATCTACTTGAGGTTGGACGCCAGATGCTCAAGGATAGCTTCACTCAATTTCTCACTGTTTAGAACATGCCCAATATAGCTGGGTCACCTGGAGGCAAGAGGTAAGGGCTCACCTGGAGGCAAGAGGTAAGGGCTCACCTGGAGGCAAGAGGTAAGGGCTCACCTGGAGGCAAGGCGGGTATCTTATTAACGCAAGACGTCCGATTTAGCCTGTAGGAGGGAGGATGGGGCGGCGGCGGCTTGGCAATGGGAGGTTTCTTAACCTGTGGACTTAAACCCGACAGAGACGAGGGCTTGGTATACAAGGGCGGTGCGGGGGGCTTCTTGGGCACCAGAGGCAGAGGCAGAGGCGGTGACTTTGGTGTCTTTTGCTTCTTGGGGAAGGTGTGTGGGGAGATGGTCGGCTGGCTAGGGAGGGTGAACGGCTTCCCTGGGAGCACCTCGGGTAGCGGCAGGTGAGGCGGGTGATGCATCTTCACACTCAACCATCAATACTCCTTGCCTCTCCAACACGCTCAGAGTCCCCGGACGACGAACCTCTGCGGCTCTCCAGTACAATATAAAGCTCCCAACAAACTCTTGCCTCACTCTCCAGCTTAGTGTGAGCGCATCCCGTGCTTGCGGCTCAGGTCCCAGTGATAACATCAGAGGCAGGAAGTTTCCTCCCTCACTCCTGGACACGACGGCCGGGCTATCTCCATCCTCCCCGATAGTGACAACATGCAGGATAAAAATGCTAATAATGTAACGAACCGTTAATGAGATGTGTGAATGTGGCGTACGATACATGGTTTGCAATATTTTTGGCGAGATATTCAGGAGTAAAAATGAACAAACCGTTATACAAAGAGAGCTTACTGCAGATCACCCAGAGTCTGCACACTGAACCCTGGGTTGCCTTCTTTACATATAAATATATTAAAACAGTATTAATAATAATATTGTTGAAAGTGAAGAAAAGTCACCCAGTGCATACGCAAGTGCATTATCAAACTAAATTTTGAGATGAACCGAAAACCCGGTTCAACAACACACCCATACATGCAATGTGTCCCCTCTTCGCCTTTATTTAAACACGACGAATGTATACGTAGTTTAAATACGTAGTTATATAATAACGGGTTTTCCAGCAGGGAGGCAGAATAGAGCCAGTGAGGAGCACGGGGTGCCATAAGCACAATCCACTGTATAAACATCAGAGGTCCGCGGTTGTTCAACACCCTCCCAGCGAGTATACGAAAAATTGCCGGAACAACCAACCAATTTGCAACAAAAAACTAGATAATTTTCTGCAAGAAGTGCCGGACCAACCGTGCTATGGTGGGTATGTGGGCCTGCGGGTCTCTCCAAGCAACAGCCTAGTGGGCCAAACTCTCACAAGTCAAGCCTGGTCTCGGGCCGGGCTTGGGGAGTAGAAAAACTCCCAGAACCCATCAAGCAGGTATCAGGCAGGGAGAGCTTCCGAACAGTTGGGAAATTCCTACTGTGGTGCTAATACACTAGACAAGAGAGACATGAACCACTGAACTACTAACCAGTACTAATAATAAGCACACTCTTACATTACGAAAAAGCCTGATGTTCATAAAGTGTTCAGTAAACATCATCCAAGTGATGCTTACTGAACACTTAGACTTTGCCTCCAACACCATCAGAGTTTCAGAGAATGGACATTCTGTCTGACAAACGTATTCATACAAGGTGACAAATCAAACACAAATGAAAGGGTTGACACAACATCTTCCTTGATTACTAGAAAGCCCTCGATACTGTCCCACATAAGAGGCTTCTAATCAAACCAGGGAAGCCAGCTGATGTGCTAAATCTGA